TTTTAGAAAGAATGGAGTTGACAGGATTTCAAATCGTAAAGACTGTGTTAATACCAGGGCCATCACTTCAAATTGTAAAATCTGAGGAATTAGCACCAAGACCAGTTCCTCAGGTTGTAGAACCAATATCAGTAGCTCCAGGGCTGGGGCTTGAAGTAATGAATTGTTTGGATTTACTCCCTAGGCCACATCTTCAAGAACTAGTAGAACCTGTAGGATTAACTCCAAAGCGAAATACTGAAGTGAAATCTGCAGAATTAACCTCAAAGCCAACATCTCCATTCAAGGATCCTACAGTGTTAACTCATGAACAAGGCCTTCAGGCTGTGAAATCTGTAGGGATAAAAATGGGGCCTCTTCAAGTTATGGAATCTCAGGATTTGAGTCTAAGACAGATGTGTCAGAATAGGGAATCAGAGGAGTTAACATCAGAAGAAGAGTTACAAACAGGAAATCATTTCTCTAGGTCACACAACTCTTCAAACTCAGCCATCTCAAGCTCTGTCAAAACAATAACTGATTTAGGAAGCCTTTGGGATTCTGAGATGACACAAGTATCAAGAGCCTTGGATATAAAAAAACTCTGGACAGATATTTTACAGACTGAAGAGTCTTTTGTAGCCCCCGCTATGATATGGTCTTCAACCCTTCCCTTGTCTCTTCATAATCAAACCTCTGATAAGACAGCTAACAATTTAGAAACCTCACATTGTGAGATCCCAGAAATGGATGTCATATCTAAGGAGAGGATTCAGAGGAAGCAGGTGCCAGAGTTAGAGAACTCACTCCAGGGCTTCTCCCAAAATCCACCACGAAGCTGGAGATCATCATCTAGGACCTTCCAGGCAGGATCAGGGGCTGGCAGATGCCTTACCAGGTCTGTCTTGGGCAGAAGACAGAATGTCTGTGAGAGTCACTCCTGGAGGCAGCGACTACCTAGAAAATATCTCTCTCATATGCTAATGCTGGGGAATGTCTTAGGGACCACTATGGAAAGTAAGCTTTGTTCTCAAACATCTTTAACAGAAATGGCCACTTCAGATACCTGTCAATCTATTCAGAATTTATTTGGAGTTCCAGCTGAATTGATGGAATTTTCCCAGAGACTGCCAGAGAAGGGTCGAGGTACTATTTCTCAGCCTTCAGTGGTCAAACACTATATACAGAGACATACTTCATGCCATGGTTGTGAGAAAAAAATAGCCTTAAGGATGTGGACACGTGGTTCCATGTCTTCTATTATACAGCAATATTCTGGAGCTAGAGTGAGAATAAAGAAAGAAATCTCAAAGCTCAGTGATACGTCCCAGGAAGTCATTCAGCACATGCCTGTTTCATATACAGGGGGCCAGCTTCCTGACCCAGCAAAGTCTGAGTCTTCCTTCAATACATTTTTCACTATGAAAGATCCTGTTCCAATGGAAGAGAGTGAGGATTCACAGAATGATTCACAGACAAGGATTTTTGAGTCCCAACACTCCCTCAAGCCAAGTGGTCTTTCTCAGGCCAAGACTGACTTCTCAGAACAGTTCCAGTTGCTACAAGATCTGCAGCTAAAAATAGCAGCAAAACTGTTAAGAAGTCAAATACCCCCTAATGTACCTCCACCACTAGCTTCAGGTCTGGTCCTAAAATACCCTATCTGCCTACAGTGTGGCCGATGTTCAGGATTTAATTGCTGTCATAAGTTACAGGCCACTTTTGGGCCTTATCTTCTTATCTATCCACAGCTCCACCTTGTAAGCACTCCTGAAGGCCATGGGGAGATTAGATTGCATCTTGGCTTTAGGTTGAGAATTGGGAAAAGACCCCAAGTCCCAAAGTATCATAGAAGAGATAGACCTATCACACCAAGGAGCCCTATATCACCATCGCTAAGGAAAACTAAAATCTATACTCAAGCTTCCAAGAGTCCTGCTTCTACAATAGATTTCCAGTCTGGGTCTTCCCAGTCTCCTGCTCCTGTACAAGTCCACATAAGGCGAAAGCAATATAGCAGTCTTAAAGTTTTAGGAAAGACCAATATTGGAGAGCCTGGGCACTATGAATTCACTCAAGTTCACTCTCTATCAAAGAGTTACTCTGAAAACAATCAGGATGAAAAATGGGCTAAAGCAACAACCAAAAAGACCTCTGATTCAAAATATCCAATGAAAAAAATCGCCAAGGGAGTTAGGACACAAAATAAAATGTTCTACACAAACAGTAGAACCACAATACAGAGTCCCTCTGGAGAATTACCAGCCCAGTTAAGACGGAAAAGGAGTGGAGCTTCTCAGACAACTATCACCTCTTTAAGGAGTCAACCTAAGAAATCCTCCCAACCCAAATTCATTCAACTGCTTTTTCAGGGCCTAAAGCAGGCAATCCAAACAGCACACAAAATTATGGCTTTGGTTGGGCAGAAGCCTGAGGACAGGACAAGGACAGATCATTTGCTATCAAGCAAAAATTACCATCCAAAACAAAAAGAGAGAGACTATAGCTTACAAAGAGATATCAAAAGAGATGGAATGCCAGTTGTCAAGCTAAAGCCAACAGACTCAACTACTAAGCAAGAAAGCATGTTATGGGAAGAAACAGACCAATTCAGATCAGCTCAACAATCAGAAAAAGATAGCTCTCTCCAACCCAGCCTTTTCCAACTGCCCAGGCCCATAGTTTCCCAAAGAAGTACCACTTTAAAAAACACCACACTCAGACAGTCTTCGAGTACCATTCAAAGTAAAAGTAGCACCAGACCTAAGAAAAATTTCTACAGAAAAGAAATTTCTAGCCAGGAGTCCAAGAACTCCCAAACAGGAACCAGAGTTCAGGCTGGAGAGAGAGCCCTGCGTGGTTCCCCTATGAAGAGAACCTCACACAGTCACCTTAAAGAGAAACTCACACATAGGAAACAAAGCCAC